TGTCAGTCTAAGTCAGTAAGAAGAAAGGTGGCACTAACCTTGAACCTATCCCAAACGCCAGTCCTTGGCCATCTACACTTCACAGAGCAGGCTTTTACGAAATAAAAAGATCTAGCAACTTCAACACTGAATCTGACATAACTGGACCAGGGTGTCCCAAAGATGGATTTGGGTTTTGTTTTGGTTGGCTGGTTGGTTTGGGTTGGTTTTGATTTTTCGAGACAGGGTTTCTATGTTTCAGCTCTAGATATCCTGGAACTCAATCTTTAGACCAGACTGGCCTCCAACTCACAGAGATCCACCCACCTCTGCCTCCTGCGTGCTGGGACTAAAGGAGTGCACCACCATTGCCTGGTGGACCTGTGCTTTTTAAGTTGAGCAAAATCATATAAATCCACAAACAACTTTGGCATGAAAAGTAACAGCTAGTAAATACTGGTGAATTTTTCTGATAACTTTGAAGGGATTTTTGCATGTATGAGAAATTCACCACGGCTGGCTTTCCCTGTGTGCATTTCAATCACAACACCCATCAAAAGAGAGCTTATAGCTCATCAGCAAAGCACTTACCACAATATGTATAAATAAGTTTGGAGTCAATGAAGCGAACTCGGAGATTATGCAGCACAGCAGGCTCGTGAAGGTAGCTGAGGGCCGTGAGGTCATTTTCTCCAACAAGTATGTCAGGGTTCCGTAAATGAGGCAGTTCCTTGGTGTTTGGATCTAGACGGTATTCCAAATCCTGAGGACAGAGATACAACATCTGTGTCAGTAATGACGAACATGAAACAGACCTATGCACTTGATTATTTTCTATTCCTGATTTGTTTCTTGGCTTTTAAATGTATTTATTTCCTGTCATTTTTCCATTATCCAAAAAAACTGGTAAAAATGGCAAACAAGGAGTGGCTTCTTTTTCATCAGGATAAAGCTGCAAAAATAATTTAAAATTGTATTTTCATATTTAAATACATGTATGCATGTGTGTGTAGTGTATACATTATGCAATTGTCCAAAGTCTAAAGAGGACAGCGGATTCCCGGAAGTTGCAATTACAGGCACAAGCTGCCCAACAAAGGTGCAGGGAACCCATCTCCATCCTCCGGAAGAGCAATACCACTCTCTTAACCACTGAGCCATCTCTCCAGCCCCAGGATAAATAATTTTTGTTAATATAGTTGAAGAAAGCAGAACCTAGAGATTTTCACCCAGAAAAAATTTATCCATTAGATGAGTTTTGCAAACACCCCCACTTCATTTTACATATGGGAAATAATAGACAGTATAAAAGAGGTCAAGAGCTTAAAGACTAGCCTGGGTCCAACCCCTAATACTGGCACTTAACTTCTTGTGCTATGTATGCATTATTTAAATTAAATCTCTCATTTGGAAGACAGTATAACAAAAATAGCTCAAAGAGTTGCGGTAAAAATTTAAAGATGCAATGCTTAGCATGCTCTAATATCTCTTGGGTTTTCTGAACCCCCAAGAGTCCCCTGAAATTATGTGCCACACTGTGTGCACATATTTGGAAACAATAATTCATACTTTCCATTAGAATTTAATGAGGTGCCTAGCCCCAAACACTGAGACGTAGCATGTGGGCTGGTGAGATGGTTCAGCAGGTAAAGGCTTTTGCAGCCAAACAGGTGACCTGAGTTTGATCTCCACAGAGTTAAAGGGAAGAACCAACTCCTCAAGTTGTCCTCTCGCCTCCACGTATGTATCATGGCAAGCATGCATACATGCACACTAAATGTCAAAATACATTTAAGAAACCCTATGCATCATAAAATCATAGGTTTAGGGGGCTTTTTGACAACACCAATTATGGAAGCTGCCACTCAACTACATATTAAAGACAATTAGTGTAGGACAAGTGAAAAGGGGAAAACATAAGTTCAATCACAACAGAACATGCTAGTTTATTACCACTGAAGAGAGAGGTCAAATATTCAAATGAATGGATTACCATACTGGAGAGACATGATGCTTTCTGCCTTTTCCCTCTAGTTTTTTTTTTTTTTTTTTTTTCCTCACAGGATAAAGTCCTTAATATTCCTGTTTCCTTACTGTTCCAATCTGAATGCTTTAAATTCCCCTCACTATATTCTGCTTCCCTCCTTACCTACAATGTCATGTTTGGGGTCAGGAATCGTATTCTCCTTTTCTGTTTATCCCCAACAGTGTGAAATATGGACTGACAGCAAGCCCTGGAGGATGTGGGGCTTTAGAAATGCTCATGATCATCCTGGCTTAATTGACAATACAACTCATCATACGGCTCCAGAATGGTAGAAGGGCATCCTGGAATGTTCTTCTCAGTCTTCATGGGATGGGACAGTTATGTGGTCAGTGTGGAAAGAAAATGGAACTGGGATATTAGAGAAGACACTAACAAGGTAAGAGCTATCTACAACGTATTTATGAAAATGTTCTCTTGGAATGGGTATCATCTGCTTCTCTGAAATGGCTGGTCATTATCAAGTAAGTATACACTTTTTTAATACAGCAAAGACCGTGCTTTTTTATTTTATTCTAGGACCTAAAATACTATATTTTCTCAAAGAAAAATTGGTTAGCCACAGGGAAACTATTTTTCTCACCTAAACCCTGTTCTTAAAATAGATCCTCCTTTTTTTTTTTTTTTTTTTTTTTTAATTAAACACAGAATTTCATGTAGCCCAGGCTGGCCATAAATAGTTCAGGATAACCTGTCAATTTCTCATTCTCCACTCCACTTCCGGAGTGCTGGGATTGCAGTGTGTATGATTGTATCAGGCTAATGACTTGCTTTTATTACACTGACTTGAGGCAAATCTATCTGATGGATCTTAACTTTGGTTTCCTTATTTGGCAAAGTAAAATTATTACCTACCAAAACCATAAATCTGTGAACTGACATTAGAAAATATATCCCTGGGCAGGAGAGATGGCTCAGTGGTAAAGGAGACTCATGTTCAATTCCCAGACCCACATGGTAGCTCACAACTGTCTGTAACTCCGGGGTGTGATCTGACATCCTCACACAAGCATTTTTGCAGGCAAAACACCAATGTACATAAAATAAAAATAAATTATTTTTTATAAAGAAAATATAGCCCAACAGGTCTAACATAGTACCTGATACAAAGCTGATGAGTAATAAATAATAAATGTTGGATATGTTAATTTTTCAATTTGACATTCAAGATTTTAATTTGGTCTAATTCTCTATCAAATCTCCTTATCTCAGCAATAGTTTTCTAAAATCCACATCCATGGTGCCCTCTCTGAAACACAAACTATACTATTTTTATTCTAAAAGGCTGTAATTGCTCCCAATACACTAGCGAAGTTCAAACATGTTAGTAAAAAGTACCCCACGGTGTGGTTTGCATCCCACCTTCACTTCCCATCCTAATAACAGTTCGTTCTTAACTAAACATTACCATGTGCACCTTTCTAGTCTATGACCGTGCTTACCAAGGTGCCTGAAATGAAATAGCCCGTGTAGAATCCTTCATGTAGTGTCTACCTCACTCAGCCACTCTGATCACATAGTCCTCTGATCTGTTTTTTAGTTTGTTTTTATTATATCTTGGGCTGTACTATTACGTTCATCTCTTCCTGGAAATCATGTCAAATCATGCCCTTTGACAGTTTTGATAGCTAATAAGATGCATTTGTTGAACCAAAATACATACCTTTCTAAATATCTACCCTAATCACCTTTTATATATATAATATTCATAATATATTTCAACTAGCAAGACTCTATGTATCTTGTTCTTTGTTAGATCAAACTATCTAGCTTTTGAATAAAACCATGCAGGTTGGCTTTGCTAGCTACTCATTTAGCTAACACAGAAGGGTTACTTCAGCCTAGGAGTTCAAGGCCAGCCTAGGCAACACAGCAATACTATTTAAAAACTAATTACTCTCTCCTTCCTGTTCCATAGACTGAAACAAAATCCTTCTCGTATGAAGTCTTTCCTAATAACTCAGCCCATATTAATGCTTCCTTTATTGCAATTATGAAGCCTTTACTGTTCTCAGCAAAGTGTTTGTTAGTAGAGAACACAAAAGAAAATTCCCGACATCAGATCACACTTTTTCCCATAATAGCTGTATAAGCCTGAGGAAATCACTCAAACTCTTTGAGCCTCAGTTTCCCCATCTATAAAACTGGAACAGCAAAGCTAGACATGATGGTATATACTTGTAATTACAGTACTTGGGAAGTGCAGACAAGAGGACTGAAGCCTGCCTGGGTGAAAAGAAATCTTACCTTCAAACAACAAATAGAAAATCAAATAAAATGGAAATAGCAAGAGCCCTACTTTGTAGTATTATTGTAAAGATTAAAAGAATTGTCATGAGCCTGATGTGGTAGTGCATGTCTTTAATCCCAACACTCAGGGAAGCAGAAGCAGGTGGCTCTCTGTGAGTTCAAGGCCAGCCTGGTATACAAAATAAGTTCCAGGACAGCCAAGGCTACACAGAGAAACACTGTCTCAAACGACCCCCCCCCCACACACACACACAAAATTGTCATGGGTTCAGTGATACAAATCTTTAATATTAGCACAAGGGAGGCAGAGGAAGGTGAACCAGGCCAGGATGGTCTACAAAGAGACCAGGTGGGCCAGCCAGGGGTATACTGTGAGACTGTTTTTGTTTGTCTGTTTTTAATTGTCAAAAGGAGTCAGAATCATGCCTGATACACTGTAAGTACTCAATGCATGAATTATTTATTTGAAAACAAATATACACTTGTTTTGACATTGTGCTGGTTTTAATGATAAATGTCCCTCAGAGGCTCAGGCATTTAAATACCTGGTCTTCAGCTGGTATGGTGAGGGAGGTTTAGCAGACAGACACTGAAGGAAGATACCTTCAGTGTAGGAAGGGCTTTCAGAGTGTACACAGAGTCTCCTCCCATTTCTAGTTTGTTCTCTGTGCTTCATGCTTGTGGTAAAACATGTGATCTCAGCTTCCTGCTCCAACCGCCTGCCTGCCACTTGCTGCTATGCCCTTCCATAACAGATTCTTACCCCGCTGGAACTCTAAGCCCAAATAAACCCTACCTTCTCTAAGATGCTTCTGTTACGGTGTTTTTGTTTGTTTGTTCATTCATTTTGTTTTATCATGGCAACAGAACAGCAATTAACACAGAAATTGGTATGAGAAAGCAGGTTGTCATTGTGATGAACCTGACAATGTTGGGGGCTTTGGAAGAATATGGAAGACTTTGGAAATCTGTACTAAAAAAGTGTCTGAGTGTTGTAAGGGGGGTTTAATGGATCGTTTCAGACAGTAACGCTGTCTCTCAGAGCAAGGCAGTAGGCAGCATTCCTCTGTGCTCCTTGCTTTGTTCCTGTCTCCAAGCCTCTGCCTTGAGTTCCTACCTCAGCTTCCCTTGACAACGCAACAGAAGCTGTAAGCTGAAATAATACCTTTTCTCCCCAAATTATTTTTAGTTATGGTGTTTATCATAGCAACAGGAAAGCAAACTAGGGTAGAAATCTTGAGAATCCTGGTGCTTCTTACTTTATTTCGTATTTATTAAAATTATATGCATTTATATCCAGTTTCCCTGGTCCAGTTATAATTTTTCCTGTTTTTGTTTAATTTTTTAAAATCACTTTATTCATTTATTTGTGTGACGGGGAGCACATGTACATGCACACTTGCACATGTCATGATACACAGGCAAAGGACAACTGTCAGGGATCAGTTTTCTCCTTCCACCGTGTAGATCCTGAGGACTGAACTCAGGTGATTAGGTTTTGAGGCAAGCATTTTTCCCTGCTGAGCCATCTCACCAGCCCTTGTTCCGTTTTTTTAAATGACATCTCATCATATAGACAAAGCTGGCCTCAAACTTGAAATCTTCCTGTCCCAGACTCCAATATGCTAGGAATACAGGAATGAGACATTGTATCTGGCATAGACTAAAAGTTATTTTTAAATTTTTATGATTTCACACACAAACATAATTTGATCATATTCCCCCCTCTTACTCCTGTTTCTGATGCCCTCTCTCTTCTGCTAAATCCTTTCCTCCTCCCAAGGAACCTCTCCTACTTTCATGTCTTGGGGCAGATTCAGGAGTCGGGGGCTGTGCCACTGCACCATGCCTGAGCATGGGTGGGGTTTTTTATTCACGGAAGAGCAACTTAGCACTGGGCACACCACTGTTCACTCCCTGTAACTCTTCAGGGGTGGGTGGGGCCTTCTGACCCCTTCTCCATCCATGCTGGAATGTTTAATGGGCCTAGTCCTGTGCCAGCAGCCACTGCTGCTGTAAGTTCAAGGCACAGTAGCCATGTCATGTCAGGAAAACTGCATTTCACAGCAACCCCACTCCCACCCTGACATGCTCCAGCTCTTCCATTCTTTCTGTTTCTTCTTCTTCAGTGTTCTTTGAGCCTTGGAGAGAGGGTAATATAAATGTCCCATTTAGGGCTGAGCACTTAACACTGGGACTAGAAATTCTTCAAAGGAAATTAATATCACAAAATTTTGTTTAAGAAAAAGTGTGACATACCCTGCCAAATGCAGCAGACAGATTAAAAGCTGTAGTGCATTAAATCGGCTAGAAAAAAAAGTGGGGAATACCCTAGAACTCATTGGTACAGGAGAAAACTTCCTGAACAGAACACCAACAGCACAGGCTCTAAGAGCAACAATCAATAAATGGGACCTCATGAAATTGAAAAGCTTCTGTAAAGCAAAGGACACCATCATCAAAACAAAGCGACTGCCTACAGATTGGGAAAGAATCATCACCAACCCTTTATCTGACAGAGGACTCATATCCAATATATATAAAGAACTAAACAAGCTGAAAAGCAACAAACCAAGTAATCCACTTAGAAAATGGGGAACAGAGCTAAAGAGAGAATTCTCTGCAGAGGAATATCGAATGGCAGAGAAGCACTTAAAGAAATGCTCAACCTCATTAGCCATTAGGGAAATGCAAATCAAAACAACCCTGAGATTTCACCTTACACCCATCAGAATGGCCAAGATGAAAAACTCAAGGGACAACACATGCTGGAGAGGTTGTGGAGAAAGGGGAACCCTTCTCCACTGCTGGTGGGAATGTAAACTGGTACAACCACTCTGGAAATCAATCTGGCGCTTTCTCAGACAACTAGGAATAGCGCTTCCTCAAGATCCAGCCATACCACTCCTAGGCATATACCCAAAAGAGGCGCAAGTACACAACAAGGACATTTGTTCAACCATGTTTGTAGCAGCTTTATTTGTAATAGCCAGAAGCTGGAAACAACCCAGATGCCCCTCAACTGAAGAATGGATGCAGAAACTGTGGTACATCTATACAATGGAGTATTACTCAGCAATGAAAATTAAGGAAATCATGAAATTTGCAGGTAAATGGTGGGACCTGGAAAGGATCATCCTGAGTGAGTTGACCCAGAAGCAAAAAGACACTCACGGTATATACTCACTCATATAAACATACAATATACAATAAACCCACTAAAAGCTGTACATCTAAAGAAACTAAGCAAAAGAGAGGACCCTAACTAAAATGTTCAATCCCCATCCTGAAAGGCAAAGAGGATGGACATCAGAAGAAAACGTAAATAGGAAACAACCTCGGAACCCGCTACAGAGGGCCTCTGAAAGCCAGAAGAAAACAGGAAACAACCTTGAAACCTGCCACAGAGGGCCTCTGAAAGCTTATGCAGTATAGACTGTCAAAGCAGATGCTGAGCCTGATGGCCAACTGATGGGCAGAGTGAATGGAATTTTATGTAAGAAGTGGGAAATAGTAAGAGCTGGAGGGAACGGGAACTCCACAAGCAGAGCAACAGAACAAGATAATTTGAACACAGGGAACTTCCCAGAGACTCATACTCCAACCAAGGACTATTTGTGGAGATGACCTGGAACCCCTGCACAGGTGTAGCCCATGGCAGTTCAGTGTCCAAGTGGGTTCCATAGTAATGGGAAGAGGGACTGCCTCTGACATAATCTGATTGGCCTGCTCGTTGATCACTTCCCCCTGAGGGGGGAGCAGCCTTACCAGGCCACAGTAGAGGACAATGCAGCCACTTTTGATGAGAACTGATAGACTAAGATCAGAAAGAAGGAGAGGAGGACCTTCCCTATCAGTGGACTTGGGGAGTGGCATGCATGCAGAAAGGGGAGGGAGGGTGGGATCGGCAGGGGAGGAGGGAGGGGCTCATGGAGGGATACAAAATGAATAAAGTGTAATTAATAAAATAAAAAAAAAAGTACAAAAAAAAAAAAAAAAAAAAAAAAAA